AATTCCTACATTTTGCGTGACCTTTTAAAACCTCAGTTGTATTGCTCACAAACCTGCCTAATAAGTATGAGTTGATCTGTCTTATCCCAGGTTGAGAATAAAGTCCTTTCGAATCCAATTTGATACAACTATGTTATACATGTATATGTGCTGCAGTGTTGACATTCTAGAAATATATATTTAAATACACTTTGTACACTAATAGTATTTATGCGCTGTTATCCCATCATTATAATTTCCATAAAATGGTGTGCATCAGTGAAACTGATCGGTGAGGGATGCAGGCATATCTGACTTGATGCTAGAGGTCAGACATACCGATGTATGAGCTTTTATTGTGATCTCAATTTCCTTTACACAAGAAGAGATGTATGGTGAAGCAGCTGGTTAATCAGTCTGAAATGTCACCATTTATAGCACTGTAAAAACATGTATCACTGACTCTCAAGATATAGCTAGGTTTCATAAAACTTTGTAAAATTAACCTGCGATTTCTTACAAGCACAGGCCTACCTTTAAAACTGTCAGCTTTCTTTACTCTGTTTATTGAGAAACCATATATCCTTGAAGAACTGACCAAAGCATGAGTGTATGTGTTTTGCCCAAATAATTAGATACAGCATTAGAATACATTTGACCACTTCAATAGTACAGCCTCTATTAATATTATTTTTTCTTTCTTTTGAACATTACAGTCTATTATTTCTTGTTCCCCACCATTACTACTTCTTGTAAGGAGAGATGAAGAGGAAATTATTCTCCAATAGTCCTTAAACATTAGTGTGATTTTTGTGGGATGGGGAATTCTAAATGTCTGAATATTTGGGGCATTGCTTCATTTTCCATGTAAATGATCCATGTACTGTTACTCTGCATGCATCAGAGCCAGTTTGATCTCCCATTCAGAGCTGTGGTAGACCAATGGAAGGTGGCATTTGTTGCAGGAACTGATGTGTTCAATCCTGTGCATGGATATTACATGAGAACATCACCATGCAGCACTTTCAGCCTCCAGAGAATTTGAGTCAACATTGTCAGTTATGCAGAAGGCTCCATGTGGGAAACTGGCTGCACATGGTATCCTTTGTATAGAAAAAAAATAGAAGTGCACCCCCCAGTTGTCTTCTCACTGGCAGGCAAAAAACTTTTTATTTAGGCCTACCTTCCACATTTGACAGCCCTTTAACCCAAATATTCATAACTTATTTGTATTTTAATTCTACTAGATTTTTAACTGTGTTGTAGGATGCCTTGGGTCCTACTTCTGGAAGAAACATGCCACGTTAAAAAAAAGAAACCAAAATGATCAAGAGGAAACAGCCTTCACCAGTGCACCAAGGGAGATAAAATGTTTGATCATAATGAAAAAATATGTTCAAGAAGGGAGAGAGAAGGATGCACTATTAATAGCTAGATGAGCCTTCAGAAGAACCTTGATAGGTTTTCTCTTGTTCTAAATTGCATCAGCCAAGGTTTCTCAGAATTCCCTTCCCTTCTTTTTCTCGGAACAAGTCTGAACCGATTGCTGGTTCCCTACAACATCTCTTTTACTTTCCTTCTTCCACAGTCTTTTGAATCTCTACGCTCCACTCCTCACTCTAAAAATCGTATTTCAGGTATCTCCTGGTATGCCACTTCATTCTAACTACAGGTAGGTTTAATTTTTCAGATAACAAATAGATTAACTGGCTGTGGGGGTGGAATGTCAGGGGAGGGGCAATTTCAAATCTTCTTTATACTGCATTTTCCAGCCCTACATCTAAGTGGCCTTTCACATCATTTCCCCTTTCTAACACACTTCTGGATGCTTATTAAGGTAAATAAAACGGTGACATGCCCTAGAAAGGAAGGTGGCTGTAGGGCAAGAGGAGAATCTAAAGTGCAATTTCATATGGAGAGAAAAAGAAATACGGTTTTGAAAACATATTTGCTGTGCCATCTTTAGGTTTGCCAGAGAAATGGGAGCAATATTTAAATTTCAGAAAGAGACATGCAGAGGACTCAGCTCATGAAGTACAATGCCATCTGGACTGCAAACCCGTCTCATTAATTTTGTAGGGACAGAGCTATTGTTCTCTTGTTCCTTGTTAAAAATAAGTTTTGGCTACTAAGCTGCACATAATTTGTGGATTCTTGCAGTGAAGCAACACTTTCTGTTCCTCAGTCTACCCAAGATCAAAAACACAAGAGTTCTCAAAACAGCAGGCTAGGTAGACTTGGCTGTCACTGGAATGACAAGAGATGTTTCTGGGACAGAGGTCAGTGTCTGAAGGGTTGCACTTCATTCCACCCTGCTCTGAAAAAGTCATGTGTGAGTGATGCATGCTCTCCCAAATTAGCTGCTTTAGGACTTAAAACAAGTGAAAGGAAGATTTTTTTAAATGGAGCAAAAAAGGTTCTTTTCATATTGGGAGTATGAAGGCATCTTCCTCTTCTTTCTTCTTCTTGCGACTTAAAACAAGTGAAAGGAAGATTTTTTAATGGAGCAAAAAAGGTTATTTTCATATTGGGAGTATGTAGGCGTCTTCTTCTTCTTCTTCTTCTTTTTCTTCTTCTTGTAGGGAAGACAAAGATGAACCTCGGATCCTTCAAAGTTGTCCATCCCTGCCCTAGGTGTTTTTATAACTTTTAGAGCTGTAACAGGCAGAGACAGTAAATTAAATGCTGTTTTTTTTAAAAAAAAATGTAATTATAGTCCCTAATGTGATTTTTACAACAATGATTTCTCAAGGCAGTAAAACCTAGAGAGTCATAACCACCAGAATAAAAATGTATAAAATTGCTCCACAACTAGCAAGATGTGCTGAAAACATAGTGAAATAAAAATGTCCCAGTGGGTTTTATCTTAAGGGGAGGAAACCCTAAGAAAAGGATAGGATTTGTTCTCCAATGTATTTCTGTTTATATATGTTGGATCAAAAATCAGCTTTTGTTCCTGTTCTAATAGAGATGAATATCTGTTTTTTTTGGGGGGGGGAAGCAGTGCTATTTAGTGAAACATTATAAAAACACTGTGTAATATTGGAGAAAGATTTAAATTTTTGGGGGGGGGGGAGCAGTACTATTTAGTGAAACATAAAAACACTGTGTAATATTGTAGAAAGATTTTTAAAAAATATGAACATAGTGTGTTTTCCAGAAAGAGGAAGGTAGTGGCAAAGTTAACTCAGTCTGACCTTTAAGAATCATCAGTGTCAGCATGTCAACTCTGAATCATTTCCCTCAAAGTGGTTGTAATAAGTCATAAAACTTTTTTCTTACATTCTTCTTGTGGATGTCCTGTTTTTGGCTTATAAATTCTCTAATGCATATATGGGCTTGCAACACAATCTTGAAAAGCTTCAACTGGTGAGTAGCTGGTGCTTGCAGTTGTGTAGCAGGTCTGGATTGCATAAAGCATTTTCTGTAGCTCTGCAATGCCTTTTAGATATTCTCTGATCCTCTTCTAAAGAAGTAGAGTGTTTGTCTTGGAAAACTTAAGGGGAAAAAGAAAAAGAAAGAGGAAATATTGTAGCACTTTAAAGACTTTATTTCAGTTTGAGTTTTTGTGTGATATTAGTCTCTAATTACTTTTTAAACTATTGTCCAGTTTGCTGTACAAGTTTAGCAGATCTTCATGTTGTTGCTGATTTCAAAAATATTTTATAGTGAACTGCAGTTCTCAGATGATGATGATAATGATGATGATGCATATACAGTTAGGAACAACACAAGTGAACTGCAGTTCTCAGATGATGATGATGATAACGATGATGATGCATATACAATTAGGAATAACACATTTTTAAGTACACAGTGATACTTAGAACCTTGTGAGCTAGTTTAATTATTTAATTATTATCTGGTCTTTGAGATTAAGTGAATGATACCTAACTCAATGAATGTTGTAATAGTTTTTTCCCCTTTGTATTAATTTTATCTTTGGAAATAAAAGCAGTTATGGAAATGTTAATGTTGTCTTCTCTTTATACCATGTGGGTCATTCGAAGATTAATGGTACTGTAACATGAGGGCATCCCCATTGTTCTGTTTCCCATGGGCTCTTTGAGACTTTATTGTGCAAGTATTTGGATACTAGGAAAAAAGACACAGATCAAATTTTCTTTTCAACAAACTACGAAAGCTCAATTGTTTTCTAAGGACAAACGCTTTTAGCAGTGAAGAGGTTTGCTCAGTCTTAACTTGCTAGGGAAGCTAAGTTAAATTCTGTAACCACATATTATATAGTTGTGGCAAAACAAAAAATATTGTTGCCCTTTTGAACACTAAATGAACTTTAGTCTAGACAGTTAATGTTCTGATGACTAAGTCCCCGAGTTAATAAAATGAACTGACTCAAATTAAGAACTAACATTGGAATGTTTTCATAGAACTACAGTACCAGGCAACAGGCAAGTGAGGACCCATGTAAAGTCATGTGCAGCACCTTCTGTGTTTGTTCCTTATCCCCAATTTCTCTCTTATTTTCCCTTCATTTCCACCTTCCTTTCCCTCCCCCACATCCCATATATAAATTTCTGTTGCAACAAAAACAATGATGAGTCTTAATTCTTGCTGACTTCTTAACTGGTGGCAGCAATTTGTCCCTCAGATTTACACTGAGTTGAGTTGGCACTGTAACCAATAAGATTCTGGCCATTGAATTCAAAGTTCTCAGAGACTATCAATAGCTAATAAGCATTTTTAATTAGAGTGGAACACATGCTTGTATCTGATAACATTAGTATTTTATCTGATAACATTATTTTGTCTTTATTACTGTATCAGACATTATATTGCAAACCTATGTAGGGTTCTTCCTGATTAAACAGGAGTGCCAGGATCAGAAAATACAATCTTTTTGTAAATTCTCGGTCCTTTTGTTCTGTGAAACCTAATGTGATATTTGCAACTAAAGAGATAAAGACATTAAAAAAATTGATAGCAAACTTTTAATGATGTGAAGTACTTGCTTTAACTATTACTCTTAACAAGTTCTTTAACTTTTGTTTTCAACTTAGATTCATACACAGACTGTTCCACACCTTCTTGTGAACTGAAGTGATTGTGAAAGTTGTGCTTCTTTTGGAAATATTGTAAGTCTCCGTGATTAACTTTTTTATTTATTTTTTATTTTTATTTTTTTGCTGTTAACTGGTGTCTCCTTCCTTTAATGTGAATTTGTTTTAAGCAGTAGTAGAGAGCCTGTGGCCTTTCCCCTCTGGTCTGGCTAATGGTGAGGGATGATGGGATTATTGTGTTCATGAATATTTGAAGGACCATAACTTCTCTGTTTCTGGATTAAAGCTTCTGTGTTTTTAGTGTATCAGAAGTGTATAATATAAAAGCAAACCTGTTTTATATACACTATTACTGAAGTAACTTCCTGTTGAGAAATATACTGTATTATAAAATTCTTCCTGTTTTTTTCTATGAAATAGCAGTATAGCTGTATTTGTGAGATTGACATTAGCTCTTGAATCTGGATAATCAGAAGTCCATATTTCTTTTTCTACAATAACTCTTGACCAAATATTGATACATCATGCAGTTCTTCAACACAGAATGTGCATGGTAGCACTTTAGATGCTAGTAGTTTAAAGATGAAATGGTACTTCAAAGTACCCAGACATCTAATGCTGATGTATGCAATTGCCTAGATGTTGTTAGACTGAAACTCCTATAGTCCCACACCATTTGCTATGCTGGTTGTAGTGCTCAGTAATACACTCCCAAACCATTTAGAAGATCCCCATGTCCAATGCTGCGTCTAATGGGTTAATTGTACATTCATAGATGTAATGAGATATAGCTTTAATCCTTTTCCTGATTTCTTTCATTTAAAAAAACAGACAGATGGTCCTGCAGTGGACAAGCTAAAAGCTTTAAAGTGCATTTTTCTTAATGCTAATTATATATATAATCTTGTATGAATTTTAAAATGGAACACCACTCAAAGGTAGTGTTATGGCTTTTAAACATGGAAGGGAAAGGTAAATACGCTATCAGTATTTTCTCAAGTGGACAAGAACCTGCTTGGTCAGTTTTAGATTCTCTGGGTCTGTTTTTGCTTACTAGCTATAGTGCTGAAAGGTGATCTATTTTTATATAAAAATACTGCATTTGTGAGCCGTGAATAGGACCAGCTCTTTCTAAACAGGAGAATAATATGTGACCATCCCAGTGTGATTGCAGGTGTGAGGGGATAGCTATATTAGGCAAAAATTGTCATGCAGTTAGTCATTCACTGTATAAGAAAAAAAATTCAAAATAAACAAGAATGCAGTAAAATTTTACTAGGAACAATTGAAATGTCACAATTACAAAATTTGCACTCTTCAACAGGCTCAATATTCAGTAAAACAAACGAAATCCGAGTTCAGGTGTCATCAAGAAAGGAGAGAAAAATGTCCCAGGACACTCTGGGGGCTGGGGGAAACTCAAGTTGCAGTCAGTAAGAGTCTCGAAAGGAGCATAGGAATTGTTAAGCAGTCTTAAAGATATTGTGCTACCAGTGCTTTTGGATTTTGACCATATTAGGATTAAAAAAAACATGATAAATGTATAGGAAACTCTTTCCTTGAACTTGGATAAGTCTCCTGTATTGCTGTGTACAGAATTATAACAGGAATCCATCTGCCCTCTTGTACTTGATTTTTAAATATTATTTTGATAATATTGAACAATGTTGCCACTGTTGACCGACTGAAAACATTTGTGTGAAAATACGCTAAATTTTGGAGGACTGGATACTGTCATTGAACTAAGCATCTAATAAAGATGGAATAGTCTGCTAAAGTGGATTGTTAATAGAAGTCATGTGATAGATTATGTATTTATTAACTGTTTTTCAGAGTAAAATAAAACTCAAACAATTTGGTATACTTTGCTAAATAACTATTTATCAAATTGCTAAGTGGAATTGTAGCACTACTTTGTCAAATACTCATAAACTATGCTTCCCTGTATAATTGAGTAATATTAATCAGATGCATAATTCATTTTACTAATCTTGCACTGGGGTGTGGCTGTCTATATCCTTCATTGCTTTCTGGGGTATTCCCTGTACTATGTCTATTGTGTATACAACCAGAATAAATTCTCTCTCAAGCCTTGCTAAAATTATGTTGTTCAGTCCTCTCCCAGCCTCCTTATTCTTTCCATGAATCATTATACAGTGGCGCCTCGCTTAGCGATTGCTATGTTTTACAGCGAAATCACTTAGCGATGCTGTTTTTGCAATCGCAAAAGCGATCGCTGTGCAATGTTTCCTATAGGGAAAATTCGCTTTGCGATGATCGCGGGGAAGCGATCATCGCAAAGCCCCCATTTTCGGCCAGCTGACCGGCGGTTCCAAAATGGCCGCTGGAAAAAAATGGCCGCCCGCTGTGTTGCCTCACTTTAGAGGCACCGAAAATGGCCACCGCAATGGAGGATTTTCGCATAAGGTTAGTTTTTAAGCCCATAGGAACGCATTAAACGCGTTTTAATGCGTTTCTATGGGCTTTTTAGAATCGCTTAGCGATGTTGTTGCTTAGCAGCAATTTTTGCTGCACGGATTAACATCGCTAAGCGAGGCACCACTGTATTTTGGTTCCAGCCAACCAATGCTTCTCTACAGCTCCATAATTTTTATTGTATTGTGAGCAGACCTCGGAAAATGACTTTTCAACAGAGGAATGGGACTCAAAGTATCTTGCCACAACTACTCCATTATCAACTGTATCAGGCCATCACTCAAGACATCATATACATTTTTCTTAAAAGTTTTCAAGCTCTGCCTTTTGGGGAGACCTGAGCAAGCCCCACTAAAATATTAGTGAATATTATATATTCGGTGCATTATTCCTCTCTCCCTCATCTCTAGATAACCCTGCTTGAAAATTTGGATTTCCCTTCCCACATGCCAGTACCAATATGCCCATTCCAATATTGGAAAACTTGCTTTTTTGTACTACCATTTCCAGAACTCTTCAGCTAACATGATGAGTTGTAGTTCAAAAGAAAAGCGTTTTCTAAACATTGGTCAATAGTCTTCCCTAGCACAAGGTTGTTGTGTTCCTCATGCATCACAGATCTGCGTTAGCTTCTGCTTGATAAAGGTGAAGGCCTTGTTTTGGTCACGTTGATGGATGGTCCCAACTGAGGGGTTGTGAGAGCATTTTGCAATAGTTGTTGCAACAGAGGCAGCCTTTTTCCCTGCCAAGAAATCTGAAAGCAGACATGCTTATAAACAGTAAAATGATGTAGTTCCAAAAGTGATAAATAGCATTGGTCAGTCTTTCCTAGCTGTAGCGCAAATATTTAAATAAAAGGCCATGGGCTTTTGACCACAGTGTTGCAATTCCTATATTGCCAGGCTGGATTAAAATGTTTTAAGGATGGAGTATTGAAAACTCTTTATAAACATTTGAACTGAGAAAAAGAGATGTAAAACAAATGTTTACTTCCTTTTAACTCGCTTTAAAATGAGTTAAACTGTGTGTGTATGAGGCCATTCCTTTAACCTCCACCTTCAACTCTCTGCATGTTAAGATGATTATCAGTGAAGGACTGACGCTAATAAACTGTTACTAATTTTTTCCCCTGCTTCTCTGATTATCTGTGATCTTCAGCTACCAATAATCTACTGCTGCTGGCTTCCAAATGTTTCTAACATTTCAGTGATTACTCTAAAACTGCACCACCTAAACCTTCGCTGTGCTTCTGTACGCTGCTGCTTCTGCTTCCATTTTGCCTTGAGGAAAGTGAGTCGCTTGGAGACAAATAGTAGACTTTAAAAGCAAACGAAACTGACCATTATGAACCTTAAGCTAAGACTACGCGTCATCCTTCTGCTCCCTGTTTACTTTTTGATAAATGTGTACAGTACACTTGTATTCATACCATGGTATTTTCTTACCAATGCTAAGAAGAAAAAGGCTATGGCAAAACGCTTAAAAGCTAAGCCCATCTTGGACAGCCCTGGGAGCCCTTACCGATCCATTTCACATATTGAGTCGCTAGCCACTATAGACTTTCCTGGAGCAGACACGCTGGACAAATTATTTGACCTCGCTGTGGCAAAGTTTGGGAAGAAAGATTGTCTCGGAATAAGAGAGATCTTGAGTGAGGAGAATGAAATGCAACCCAATGGAAAAGTATTTAAAAAGGTAAGAAATACTTTGAAATTTTAAATAACTTGAATGTTTGGGAAGGGATGAAAATATGGCTTTTGAATATCAAACTTCCTAGGTAGCCAAGATCAGTAATACAGAGAGCAGTGCAATATGTAGCTTCACAATAACATGTGCTTTTTGAGAGATTTTTTAAAAATACTCTTGTGCTGCTTTTGCAGTACAGCAGCAATAATTAACTGCTAATTTCAAACAGCATTGTCTTTCATATATTATTTTTTTCCATAAATATGGAGAAAAGGGTAACAATTCTAATCAGATATTTGCTTCAGGCTCTTGAAATCAAATGTTACTTAGGATAATTTCATTAGCTATTGTATCAGGCCATTTGAAATTTCTTTCCGTATAAAGAAACATATATATGCTGTTTGTCTTTCTGGTTTTCTTAAGGATGCGTAAAATATTTAGATGCTAATACTCCTGAATTCAGGCAGTCTGTTTCTACTTATATTGATGTGTAACTTTTCAAGTAGTTGAACAGTTTATCAAGCAAATGTTTAATCTCTGACCAGCTGATCCTAGGAAACTATAAATGGCTTAACTATGAAGAAACTAACCAGAAATTGAGCCACTTTGGAAGTGGACTCACTGCGCTTGGTCTAAAGCCGAAGAACACGGTTGCTATATTCTGTGAAACTCGAGCTGAATGGATGATGGCAGCACAAACCTGCTTCCGGTACAACTTTCCTTGTGAGTCTTGATATTGTATTTGATATTTGTAAGCTTAAAGAAAAATAGATCTAGGTTGTCAGGCACATTGGTACTTCCCTCCTCATCCGCCTGTGTTTTTTGCCCTCATTGCAAAATTGTCTCCAAGCTGTAAGAGCAGAGTTTAAGAACTAGCACCAAAATGTGCTTCTCTGTGACATTCCTACTTGAGGTTCAGATGTGCAAAAAGTAAGAATAGTGATAATTGTCAACAGTCATAATTAACAGCCTTCGAGAATACAAAGTGGTAATTAAGACAAATAGTCACTATATTCCACTTTATATAGATTTGAGCTTCTCATAAAACTGTCAGGCATTCTGTATTTGTTAACTAGGGTTAATGCTGATACTCTGCTATTGTAATGCATTTGAAACTATATAAATAAATAAAATAAAAATATTGTAAATAAATATTCCACTTTATATATATTTGAGCTTCTCATAAAACTGTCAGGCATTCTGTATTTGTTAACTAGGGTTAATGCTGATACTCTGCTATTGTAATGCATTTGAAACATAGATTATGGAAAACCTATAGCTTTTACTTATTCTGCAGTGCAGATTGTTGATGATGAAATCATATGGAGATGCAAACTATTTGGTTTTGTCTTTCATTCCTTCCATTGTTTTTTCTTCTCCGTGAAACAGTGGTAACGTTATATGCTACCCTAGGAGAAGAGGCAGTAACTTATGGGCTGAATGAATCTGGAGCATCATATCTTATCACTAGTGCAGACCTTCTGGAAGGCAAGCTGAAGGTAGGCCCTTTTCTGATCACTTTGTTCACTGATGAGGATAGTAACACTCCAGTAGATTGGAGCACTTTGTTTGAAAACAGAAGGCTGTACGAGGAGGGTCAATGCAATAGTAATCTTGTGTGTATAAAACCAGCTCAACATTATATTTGAAATAGCAGGAACTTGCAGCCGTGAATAGTCTGCATTGGTGCTACAAATTATGGTCTTTGCTCTTAAATTTCAAGAGATCAGTGTAACAGACCTCTTAAATTTCAAGAGGTCAATGTAATAGAACACTTAAATTTCAAGGGTCAATGTAATAGTAATCTTATGTGTATAAAACCAGCTCAACATTATATTTGAAATAGCAGGAACTTGCAGCCGTGAATAGTCTGCATTGGTGCTACAAATTATGGTCTTTGCTCTTAAATTTCAAGACTTCCAGTCTTGTCAGAATCTTTTGAAGTTGGGAAAAATTGGCCACAGGCAGCGCCAGTTGTCCTTTTTGTACCAAACTTGGAAAGCCATGACAAAAATCAAAGTGTTCTTCATAGGGTCTGTAACCTTTGTGAAATTCCCTGTCCTCTGAAGGTTACCACAGCTCTAGCATCAACCCATACCCATATTTCCACTCAGGAACATGCTAGATGACCACAGGGGAGTGGGTTATAGTTGTAAAAAATAATAATAATAGCCACTTAAGTAGCTATAATGTAGCCAATAAAGAGGCTGTGCATTGAGAACTTGTGTGTAGTCTGTGTAGTCAATTCTAAACTGTTTCTTGTTCCTCAGAATGTATTGTCAGAAATCCCTGGACTCAGGCATATTATTTATGTGGATAAGAAGACTATCAGCACATCAGACTATCCTAAAAGAATAGAAATCCATAGCATGCAAGCAGTAGAAGAACTGGGAGCCAAACCAGAAAACTGTAAGTTAATTAGCTAACAGATTGTCATAATTGTTTAAGTGTAACTCAGGTTCTACATATATTTTAAGCAGCTCAATGCGTTATAATGAAGCACTTCAGACCCTATGGCAAAAATATAAGTGTCTCCCTCAGTTTCCTAGAGCGATCTCAGTTGGTTGGTTTGATTTTAGCTGCAAGACCATTCGCATGTTTGATGATGGCATAGTGTTGACAGCTCCTGCCTGGCTTAAATCTTGCTTCATGATTTGCAGTCAGAATTCATATGACGTTTGAATGGTTTGGGAGAGGATGGAGACAGAAAGGAACAGTGAAAAAGCTTTGCACTCATTGTTCCAGAGAAAAGGCACAAATGTGGTACCTACCTATGTGCACAGCAACTCCAAGGAAGTGGCTCTCTGGGATTGCCCTAAAGCCTCTCTGGAGGAGGCAAACCAAATAGACACACCCAGTCATATTTTATTTTCCAAGATGTCTTCATTTGTAATCTTTTCCTTTTCACATCTTTTTCTAGTAAGCCTTCCTCCAAGTCGACCTAGTCCAACAGACATGGCCTTAGTCATGTACACCAGTGGCTCCACTGGGAGGCCTAAAGGAGTGATGATGATGCATAAAAACTTAATAGCTGGAATGACCGGACAGTGTGAGCGAATACCTGGGCTGGGGTAAGAACTCTGGAACTGGTTATATTGCCAGTTTCTGCTGTGTCCTCTCCTATCTCCCGTACAAAAATGGATTTTGATGACATTAAAGCAACGCTATTAGCTTTTCATGTGCTATAATAGGACTCCCTTCCTTCCTTCCCTCCCTCCCGCTTTTTCTTTTTTCTTTTCTTTTCTCCCTCCCCCCTCCTTTTGCCAACATACTGAAACAAACTGCCATGACTGTTGCTTTGGAAATTAAAACATTAAAAAGGCAGTGAAGCACACAATACTGCCATTAATTTAGAACGATTTTTAGAACATTACAATAAAAAACACAAGAAGATATGAACTACAAGAAGTTTAGATACATGTTAAAGAATGTATGTTCTCAGTTATAAGAAAATGGTTTAGAAAAGTAATCATTCTCTTAGCTTCTTAGAACACTGTACTAAGATATGCTGCTTACTAGCTTGAAGCATATAATCTCTCTCTCTCTCTCTCTCTCTCTCTCTCTCTCTCTCTCTCTCTCTCTCTTAGACCCAAGGATACATATATTGGCTATTTGCCCCTGGCTCACGTACTAGAACTGACAGCAGAAATTTCCTGTATTACCTATGGCTGTAGGATTGGATACTCCTCTCCACTCACGCTCTCAGACCAGGTAGGAGAGTCTGCGGAGCTGTCCTTTGAGTTGCTGGGTCAAGGAAGAGATGCTTTTATGTGCCAAGGGCTGGATAATTTGTTTGGATGGGAAGCATCCCCAGGGTTATCACACTGGAAGGCTCAGAAACAATTTGTCCATGAAAGTATAAAGCCCTATTATACTTGGACCCCCTGGTGCGTTTTGCATTGGGGATTAGATGAATTGGCTTTCTGAACAGCATTACTCCCACCCCCTCCCATAGTTGAGTTCCGAATTTCCTTTGCACGGAAATCTAAAAAGATGTAACAACTTGGGCTAGTTTTACTCAGTTTCCTACATCTATCTAACACACAAAAGGGTGTCATCAGCAGGCCAGTCTCAATTACTGACCCTGGAGCACAGCAATATGTTGAAATGTGATTAATTTCACCAATCTTTTTACTTTAACTGAATGTTTTCAGTTTGAAGGTCTTCGCAGTGCTAAACAAGTTTAAAAATTCCTTCTCCCATGGAAAGAACTGAATTTAAGCTAGGTCTCTCACTTTTCTTTTTCTTGCAGTCCAGTAAAATTAAAAAGGGAAGCAAAGGAGATTGTACGGTTCTGAAGCCCACACTGATGGCAGCTGTGCCTGTAAGTACGAGTAGGGAAGGGTGTGAGTGAAATATTTGGTCTTTTTAAAAAAAATTTCATGGGACGGGGAAGGGTGTGAGTGAAATATTTGGTCTTCACTGCAAAAAACATGAACACGAAAAGAAAGGAAGAAAAGTGCAATTCCTGTATGGCAATTCTTGTATTTGCATGGCAGGCAAACATAAGGAAATAAATGCTACAGAAATGTATTTTCCCAAATTAGAAGGTATAGAATTATAGTTCTATATTCCAGTGTCACTAACTCAAGAAACACAGGGGGCTTGCATATGGCTGACAAAGTCCATAATACAAATAAGCTTTTCATTCTACGCATTTCTTTTTTACAGTAAACAGCTGTTTTTACAGTAAACAGCTGACTCCTTGGAAAAGACTTTGATGTTAGGAAAGTGTGAGGGCAAGAGGAGAAGGGGATGACAGGACGAGATACTGGACAGTGTCATCAAAGCAACCAACATGAACTTGACCCAACTCTGGGAGGCAGTGGAAGACAGGAGGGCCTGGTGTGCTCTGGTCCATGGGGTCACAAAGAGTCAGACACGACTAAATAACAACAAAACAGCTGGGAATGCACATAGCTGACTGCTGCTGTTCATACTACCATGTTTCCCTGAAAATAAGACAGGGTCTTATATTAATTTTTGCTCCAAACAGTGCATTAGAGCTTATTTTCAGGGGATGAGTTTTTTTTCATGTACAACAATCCACATTTATTCAAATATAGTCATGCCATCTTCTTCTGGTTGCTGCACAATGGTGGAGGGTGGGGTTTCACTTAACTAGGTCTTATTTTGGGAGTAGGACTTGTATTACAAGCATCCTGAAAAATCATACTGGGACTTATTTTCAGGTTAGGTCTTATTTTCGGGGAAACAGGGTAGGTGTTAGGAAACTCCCTCACAACGCCATCCCGGTCATATTATTGGCAAGAATCCTGTTATTTATGCTGGCATAATTGCAGTACATAAATCAAAGCAGCAAACTGCCACTACTTAACCAAACACTACTTATATTCTTTGCAGCTTGCCAGTGGCCGCTGTAATTTTAACCAGCGGATAGTCACATCGGCTGCAGAAAAAGAGCTCAAGATATTGTTTGACGCATGCAGCTTACTTTGTGAAACAGCAGTTCTTGAGTTTCCCTTATTCCTGATCCATAAAGTAACCTAAGCTTATCTTTTGAAAATAAAACATGTGCTGCTTCAACAGGAAGGTCCTTTTCTGAAAAGAAAAGGATTTATTTTTAAAAAAATCTTAATGGGACAGGTAGATCCAGCCTGACACACCTTGATGCTTTTGGCCCTCACTACCAAATAAGAAACGGTTACAACTATATTTCTGAATATGCATGGGCCGTACTGCTGAAATAGTTATAGTATAGGGAGGAGGGAAGAAAGCTGTTTTTTCCATTGCGTATTTCCACTTAGTGTTTACACATAATAGCCCCTGGCTGAGATTGACCACAGATAGAATTAACTAGACTTCACATTAAGTGTTACACAACTAAAGAATAACTAAGCTATTTATTCCCCATAGGTAGTCAGGCTGCACTAATATAAACTGGACCACGACTGCACATATAACCCCCTTTTAAATTTTCTTTATAGGAAATCATGGATCGAATTTATAAGAACGTTATGAGCAAAGTTCAAGAGATGAACTATATTCAAAGAACATTGTTCAAGATAGGATATGACTATAAATTAGAACAAATCAAAAGAGGATATGACGCACCTCTCTGTAACTTGTAAGTATAGTTCATATATGTGCAGTTGGTATGTGTCTTGTTACAGAAGTAATTGCAACGTAAATCAATTGCATAGGGACTGAAATGTTAATAGGATTCATCCAGTTAACGGTGGTTTTGCATTTCTTGGTCTAAAGGCACAGCCAAGAAATGCTAAACATTCTCTTTCTGCATGAACAGCAGTTATGTAGGGACTGCCCGGTTTGCACCTTAGGCGGAAGGCTAATGCTTTGAGATCATTTATGCTAGGGAACTTTCTGGTATTACAAACTGAGGCGGGTATACCGTTTGCCAGAAATTACTTCCTTTAGTGCTGAAACCCACTAGACTATAGAGTGGAAATAAAAACAAATAATGCATAACAGTTTCCTTTATTCCCCCTGGGCTTTCAAGGAGTGCATTCAGTTCGCTGTTGTGCACATTCAGATTTAAACCGGATAATTTGCTGCTGCTGTGTCACAGAATCGTAATCCTTGGACTCCGTGTAAATGTGCTCCCAATAACTTTCTTCTTTAAAAGCCACAATCCATAGTCTATATACTAACCGAGTAGTATGACTAGTAAAATAGCAGAGTAGGGGATATGGGGTGCCTATAAGGTAACCATTTGCTCATGCAGGTGGCACCTACTCTTCCTATGTTAATGCACACGTTTCTTTTTCTTTAAGATTGTTGTTCAAGAAGGTGAAAGCGCTGCTAGGAGGCAACATACGCATGATGCTTTCAGGAGGCGCGCCACTTTCACCTCAAACACAAAGATTCATGAATATCTGTTTCTGCTGCCCTGTTGGCCAAGGTTACGGGCTCACAGAAACATGTGGAGCAGGAACAATTACCGAAGGTAAAGCTTCCGGAGCTGCACCGTCTTAGCATCCAATGTGATTTTCAGCCAAACACTTGAAATGTGGATGTCGTGTCTATCAGTTCTTTCATCTAGGCTTTGTATTTTCAACCTGTTTGAAAATGAAAATACTTTGACTACAATTTTACTCTTTTCTGTTTTATCCTTCTAGTGTCTGACTACAGTACTGGGAGAGTAGGGGCTCCTCTAATCTGCTGTGAGATTAAACTGAGAGACTGGCAAGAAGGTGAGGGAACACTTTATTTCAATAAACATCCATCCAGTGTCAAGATTATCAATATAAACAAGTTGGAAAGCCTGAAAAATATTTGTCTTATAAACTTATTTGTGAAAAAAATGCTCCCTTTTCTAGATGTTTCCCCAAAACACTATCCTTCAGGTCCGATACACTTACAGTGGTGCCTCGCTTAATGACATTAACATCGTGATGAAGTGGATTTGTCGTTATACGGGGTAATCGTTAAGCGGGGCACGACTCTACTTCTGGCCATTTCTTCTCTGTGGGCAAAAATGAACATCCATGTGAGAGATCCCCCTGATCATTTGAATGTAGGATTTCCCACTCAAATTGTTCTCCACTGAGGTGGAGGAGGGAGTAATCCCCAGACAGGCCCCTGAAAGGAAGACTTCCAGGTAATTCGAGCCTTGCTGTTATAAATACGTATAACTTTTACCAGTCAGGCAAAACTCGGCTCTCTGAATGTTTGTTCAGGAGTGGCTCACGATTCGTTCCACAAGGAACAGAAGTGTGCATCAAATTCTTGAGTCAGGCAGCAATCCCAATTCCAGTCTAATTAAACAGCACGGTTTCATTTAATTTTAAAGTGTGGAAAGACCAGGGATGTATGCCTTATATATATATATCCTAAGTTCAAATAACTTGGTATTAAAAACATTCTGAACATTGAATAGCTCTATTAGAATGTGATAGGTTGCGTTGTCTCCGAAGTTTGTAGCTTGAAGTTAATCAGTGGTAATTTTTAATTACATGCTTTGATCTATGTCCCAGTTGTCACTACACAGCAAATGTTGTAACTTTGTGTGCACCCTCTTTTACTTATAATTTTCTCAGGAGGCTATACCAGTAGAGATCAGCCAAACCCTAGGGGAGAAATTATCATTGGTGGACCTAACGTATCAATGGGATACTTCAGAAATGAAGCAAAGACAGCAGAAGATTACATCCTTGATGAAAATGGACAACGATGGTTTTGTACTGGTGATATTGGAGAGTTTCATCCTGACGGCTGTCTACAAATTATAGGTAGTTATTCCTTGTGATTCAGACCATTGCAGTTTAGTGTACTACCTCTCCAAGTGTAATATGTATCATTTTCTGATAGGATTATTCCAGGTGCTAAATTATGGCTTTATAATATATTGCAAAGAAAAAAATGGTTAGGAAAGTTTTCTGTAATCTCACCCAAAAATTTCACAAGCTCATTTTTAGTTTTGCTTTATGTCTATAGCAGATACTAAATTATAAAAGCAAATTGGACTTCCTTCACAAGTGGTTTCTCATTTTTTAGGAGTCTGAATGATGACTTCTCACAACTGAAGTGAACAGTTTAAGAGGTCTGTTAGTACTGACCTCCCTCCTACATGCAGAGGAGGTGTAAGCTTCACTTATCTCTCATGAAATTGTTCCCAAGGAGAGATGAATGACTAAAATCAAGTTGTATACATTTTAAAGCACTGATGGTTCCATCTAATTATTCTCTTAGATCGCAAAAAAGACTTGGTGAAGCTGCAGGCAGGCGAATATGTTTCACTTGGCAAGGTCGAGGCAGCCCTAAAAAACTGTCCACTTATCGATAATATCTGTGCTTATGCCAAAAGGTAAGCTTGCATCTATTAGTCTGTTTATCATTTTACTTTATTCATTTCTTTCAAGATATTTAAAAAAACACAATTTTGACAGGCAAAGCAGAGTTTTTTAGTTAAAGAAGACTAAAATGTAAAGTTAAAAATCTTATCATTCATTTTCCAAAGGCTTTCTTGCATGGCTTCAGAATTTTAAGACTGAATATAGTCAGGGCCTTTCCAGCAAGTCTGGCACTATGTATCTCCGGTAGAAAAACTCTATGTCATTTGTGCCTTCTCTTCATTAGATGATAAGAGGCTATTTTTCTGTAATAGATCATAGATCTGTGGATTGAAAGCTGAGATGGTACACTGTGTCTAGCTGAATGCAAAACACTAACTGAATCTGGGCTATTGGTGCCGTTACTTTATGATGATCACAGGGTGCAGCAAAGAGTCCCAGTTTGCAAATTGGATCCCAGTTTGTGTATTCAGACATGGATCAAATTAGATGTGAGTGGCACTGCACATGGTTAGTAGACATGTGCACTAGCAGAAGTTTTTAACCTCGCCTTCTTTCTGACAGAGGCTGAAACAGGTGTCATTGGAAATACGTTTAGTCTCATTTTTGCAGGATTGAAGTGAATGTCTAGCTAATAGCATGTTAGCAACATCTTTAGCAATGAAATACGACGTAGCTTCTGCATGATGTTGTATTTCCTTCTTTTTCAGTGACCAGTCTTATGTCATCAGTTTTGTGGTTCCCAATCAGAAGAAACTGGCTGCTCTTGCTGAACAGAAGGGTGTGATTGGCAACTGGGTAGATATCTGTAACAATCCAATCATGGAATCTGAAGTCCTGAAGGAGATTAAGGAGATGGCAAATAAAAGTAAGACAACAGAGTGGCTTGTCTGTGCGTTTGTGATGCACAAAGTGAGACCTACAGCAGAATGCTCGGATATATCCTCACTTGTCTGACAGGAGGGTTTTGTGTTCAGGGTGCCAGCCAGCTGTGCCTTCCTCCAGGATACTATAAGGCAGCTGTTAGGCTGAAGCGAAACAATTAACTTCTGATTATCTAGCATGAGGTCTTTATACTTACTCCCAAGATCCCACAGCCAGCAAGGCCACTTGGGTGTAGGCTGTAGGTTTTGAAGCACTGAAGTTCAAAAAAACAAAAGTAACTGTTTTCATCTTTTGTTCCTTTAAACCTCAGTATACCCCTAAGCACGTTAATACCTCCCTCTTGTTTCTCAGTGGCCTCATTCTGGCTTCAGTTCTTTTAACAGAGGAATGCTAACTTCCCCTTGATAGGATAATCTATCCCAAAGGAGGTTCAGAAATCTGTTAAATAATAAATGTGATAACAAAGTTGGAAAGAATTACAGAAAAATCCTTGGACCTCTCCTCCCCAAACTGCTTGCTTATTCTGGTTATTTCCCACAGCATGAAGGGAGTGATGGTGCTTTGCTGTATGAAACACAAATCCCATCGTTCCCTGCATTTGCCTACTCACTTACATCTTCATGTTAAAGGCAGAAAAGACAGGCATCAGGAATTCAGCTGCCCATGGTCCCTCCCTCCCCATTCCCAGAGTTCACTTTCAGGATACAATTTCATGCTTACGTAGCATGCATTCCTTCTTCTGCATTGCTGTCTTTCCTGTTATTTGAAACTTGCCAGTGTTTGGACTTCACACCACATACCATGCCAAGCAGCCTGCAGCCAGTCTGCTAGTGTGCAGAGTAGATTATCAAAACCCTTTCACCTTGATGTCACATGTATAGTATTTCAAGTAATATCCGCTATCACAAAGAAATGGAACCTGGGGGAAAAGCGAATAGCCTAAAAAGTGAAGGCTTAACTCTTAAAAACAAGAATAGGCCCTGACAAGTTTTGGCTTCTGGAAATACAGTGAGAAGATGTGCCATAACCCTTGAATTGATTTAGAGAGAGAGAGTGTGTGTGTGTGTGTGTGTTCTATGCTGTCAAGTTGGAACCAGCTGATAGCGACCCTAACAGGGGTTTCAAGGTAAGTGAGATATTTAAGGAGTGGTTTTACCTGTCCCACTCTCCCATTGCATTTCTGTGACGGAGTGAGGATTTGAGTCCTGTTCTCTAGAATCCTAGTTCGTCATTCTATCCACTACCCCACACTGGGATTTTAAGAAGAGACAGATTTTACTTTTGTGGCGATCTCTTTGATACATGGGTGTGTGTGTGTGAGAGAGAGGGATTCTGCTACTCCCATCTATAATTGAACACTGTATGTTTGGATATGTGGATATTTGTTTGCTATTAGCATACAGTCTCCATTTCTTAATCTCCCCTTTTCTCTGCCCTCTCAAATGGCTTCTGCAGTGAAATTGGAGAGATTTGAAATCCCGGTCAAGGTGCGGTTAAGCCCAGAACCCTGGACTCCAGAGACGGGCCTGGTCACAGATGCTTTCAAACTGAAAAGGAAAGAGCTGAAAAACCATTACCTCAATGACATCGAGCGAATGTATGGCGGTAAATAACCTACCAATCACCGCGAGTCAGAAGCTGCACAAGAATCCTTCTACAATTTGGGTGTGACAAACCTTATTCCCCCCAATGTTATCTGTGATGATAAACGGGGGAGGCGGCATTTTGTGAAACTTGCAAAACCAGCATCCCACTTTGAGGAAGGAATAGCAGTGCTGGCTCGCTCTACTACACTTTCAAGATGCTGCCACTGCCTTTGTTTCATTTGATCACTCCTAATATTGAATGTCTGTGTTCGTATGAAACGCCATCATTGGATAAACCATTCTTTCTACCTTTATATTCCGGCTCCACTTATTCATAAGGAATTAGGTCATTTTTGAAGATCCCAGGATACATATATATATATTTTTAATGGAGGGGGGAAATAGTGTGTCTTTAATGTATGAACTGTGGGTGGGGAAAAGCGAAGAAAGGCTAGGCAGACCCAAGCTTCTGCTTTTCAGAATGCTGCTCAGAAATTTGCCATCTCAGGTCCTTCGCTAGGTGAAATAGCTGCTTTTAACTTGACTTTTGTGAGAGGTGCTAAGAGGCAGAGAAGAAAGAGGGAAGCTCCTCGTTTGAAACGGTACTTTCGCGCAGCCAAAAAAACGGCATGGGCCCTTATCCATTCAACATGCAGCTGTTGCAAAATGGGCTTTGTATCATGTGCATTCAGCTGCAGATGCCCAGCAGCTTAATAATCAGTGACGTTTTAGTCTACATATTTGCAAAGGCAAGTTCTGTATTCAGTTGCTCCTTACTGAATACATAGAGTAGCTGGCCATATCCGAGGCAGCTCAAGAAGACAATTTTGGCTCTGTGGAAATACTTGCAGAGAAGAGATATCTGTGATAATGTCTTGAGAGAATTAAGGGCCCGGTTCCAATTTGTTTTTGTTTTGTTCTAATTCTGTACTAAAGAATTGTAAAAACAGATGTAAAAGCCAGTATTTCTCTCCAGTGGCTTCTGCAATTCTGCAATACATCTCCTCAATCTAATTTTTCACAAATTGCTGACTTAACAAAGTCAAGAAATGCACAACGTTTGCATTTCAGCCAATAAAAATATTTATAATATTTAAAAGGGAAGCAGATAGACTTTTGAGCGGAGAAAATAAGTGAACAGAGAGATTTTTTGTGCGTGTTCAGATGCATCCTGTCAGTTCCTTTTGACTCGTTCTTACACTTCCAGAGCTGCCATAAGGGCTGAAATCCTGTGGCTGCTCTGTAGGACGTTGAAGTTCGAGTCCGCCCATTGAAGCAGTGGAACTCAGAGAGCAGCTGACTCACCAGATTTCCACTGGGCCTATTCTAGGCTACTCTGGATAACAAGATTTCAGCCAAGGAGATTTAAAATCCTTTTTAAAAAAAAATCATATATGACATGTTAGTGCTCCTTGCCATCCATAACACTACTCTGGCTTCTTTGGGGATCTCTGTGCCTCTCCCTCCCAAGTTCATCGACACAAGGAATGGGTTTTGATTCATTTTTATGTTTGTTTTTCAAAAGGGCATTTCTATTTATTAGTTAGTACATGACACAGAGCCAAACGCACGTGAAGACTAAGTATTTCTCATATGTAAGTAATGAACTTGGTTTTAAAACTTTTTTTTGTCTAATAAGCCTGTCTAAAGGGAATATACTGTATTTAAACCTATGTCTTTTTCCGTTTGTGAAAAATGTTTATTTAAAAACTGGAAATGGTTTGGTGTGTGCTGGGGGGGGAGAGCAGGGTGGCTCTTCTGTAGTTTGTGTTCTCTTGTGCTGCAGTCAATAAGAATGTCTTTTTTTAGTTCATTGCGCTGGGCTTCTGTATCCCTTTCGACAGTTCACACTTGAATGCAAAATACTGTAAGGTGTGACCATTCTTGATGCTGTTCTACTTTGCACTTTTTTCTTAATCTTTTTATATATGTTGCTTCCATATTTTTTTGTACAGATGTGGTCCTTGATTGCAACGTGTTACACTTTGACTTTGGCTCTAAAGTATTTATAAAATAGTTTTCTTTTATTCATACTTAAATGTGTATATTACGCTCAGAAGAAAAATACCTAGTATTGTTTCTAATGAATGAAGGGAATTTTTTTGTATGAATGTTTAAGTACACAAGTTTTAAATGCAACTTGGTCAAGTCTTTCCTTCTGTGAAGTGTATGTGTGGGTCAGCCAGCTTTTAAAACAACAACAGATCAATCATTCCAGCTGTTACACCTCCAAGCCATTATTCTGACCCGAACTGACTGTCCTTGGGGACCAATTTCAGTTTTTAATAGACAAACTGTTTGCTATATATACCTTCCAGCTGTGCTTCTCTGGCAAGCCTGCACAATGCCACTTGAACCTGCAGAGACTGAAACTCATCAGGTCCAATCTGGCTGCTGCTAATGTAAGAGGGGAGTCTACTGCTGAGACCAGCAATATGCCTCACACATACACTTTCTTTACGTGTACAAGAAATGCTTCTCCTATCAATTACCGGATTTTTATTCAGATGAGCTCATTGTTGCAGTCTGTTACATTCAAAGTGTGATAAAATTGCTCTGTTATTTAGAAACAGATGTGTTGTTTTGACTTTGTCAGACATGGTAAAAAAATGTAAGACAACAAATGCGTATAGAGTAAAAATAAGTGTTGCCTGCTATTCGAAATCAGACAGCAAGCTCATGAAATTAGATTATAAAGTGTATTTCTGGCCTACATAATCTCTTTGCTCTGATGTTCATGTGGTCTTTACTGGCTACTGTTATTTTCAGTGTGCATGAATCTTCTTAAATAAGAATTATCTGGTGTAGAATACAGCTTAATTGGTGCAGAAAATCATGGTGTTTAAGAGGTTTTGTTCTTCCACAGTTTAGAGAGTCATCATGGTTATACATTTTTTTCTAGAATTTTCCTGCTGTTAAGTACCAAGATTAACATTTCTAATGTTTCCCCAAGAGACTGCCAAGAAAGTTCCTCCTAGAAGTTCCTGGTTTGATACTATCTCTCTGTTGCCCTTGTGTACCAAACGCTCCCTTAGAAACATTTGTATATTGTTTTCACTCTGCATTCATACATTATTTTGAACCTAGCTCTAAGGCCACATTTAGAACCAACCCAAAAGAATTAGTATGACATGACCACCAAACATTTGAGATTGTGGGATAGAGAAGCCAGAGTAGATCGTCTACCACCTGTTTAATTTTAGTCAACTTTTAAGCACATAAGAGGCATGCTAGACTGGACCAAAGACCCATCTAGCACAATATTCTGGACCATACACTGACAAAGCCACCAATATATGGCTTGATGATCCTTTTTGTTATGCCATACAATGTCTGCTTTTCTATAAAGAACACTTTAATGGAACAAAGTTAGGGCTGGTCATGTTTGCACAAAGCAAATTCCAAAATCCATCCGGGGATGATGCCTCCTTTTTGAGTTGGTGTAATAAAGGCAAGCTTTCAAAACAAATATCTCTTCATCAGGGAAAGTGTTACAAAAGTAGAAGGAAGCAGTGGTGTGTGTGCGTCTGAACTTAAGCTCTTGTAGTTGGCATATTGTTGTGAGATATAATGGAGGAGGCAGACAGCATAATGGACACTCGAAAGCTCAAACTGGTTGATATTTTTGTGTGAGAACACTTAAATCTGTGGAGTCTTTGTATTATCGGGATGACTTTCTGAATGGCTCAAGCAAAGCTTTTATAGGTGGTTTGCAGCTGCTGGGAAGACCAAGTAAGAAAAGTAACAAGGAGACAACAGACCTTAGAGCTCTGTTCCTCAGCCTGCGGTCATCCAGGTGTTCTTGGACTGCAACTCCCAGAAGCCTTCACCACCAGCTGTGCTGGCCAGGGTTTCTAGGAGTTGCAGTCCAAGAAGACCCCAGGTTGGGAAACACTGCCCCAGAATCTCTAATACAGGTTCCTAAAAGGAAATCTCCCTTGTGGTTCAAGGTACTTTTAGCAATGGGCGAGAATCTAACATGGGCTGTTTGTGGGTGGGAAGAGTCTCTTGGGAGAGCCCCAGAAATGCCCTTCCATAAGCTAACATGCATGGAGAAAGCCAGAGAGTTCCAGAAAAACATCTACTTCTGCTTCATTGACTACGCAAAACCCTTTGTGAGGACCACAGCAAACTATGGCAAGTCCTTAAAGAAATGGGACTGCCTCATCACCTTATCTATCTCCTGAGAAATATTTATGTGGGACAGGAAGCAACATTGTTAGAACTGGATATGGAACAACTGATTGGTTCAAAATTGGGAAAGGAGTACGACAAGGCTGTATATTCTCTTCCTGCTTATTTAACTTATATGCAGAAGACATCATGCGAAAGGCCAGACTGGAAGAATCCCAAACTGGAATTAAGATTGCCAGAAGAAATATCAGTAACCTCAGATATGCAGATGATACCACTCTGATGGCAGAAAGTGAGGAGTAATTAAAGAACCTCTTAATGAGGGTGAAAGAGGAGAGCGTCAAAAATGGTCCGAAGCTCAACATTAAAAAAAAAATAAGATCATGGCCACTGGCCCCATCCCCTCCTGGCAAATAGGAGGGGAAGATATGGAGGCAGGGACAGTTTTTACCTTCTTGGGGTCCATGATCACTGTAGATGGTGACAGCAGCACAATTTAAAAGACAACTGCTTTTTGGGAGGAAAGCAATGACAACCCTAGACAGCATCTTAAAAAGCAGAGACATCCCCTTGCTGACAAAAGTCTGCATAGTCAAAGCTATGGTTTTTCGAGTGGCGATGTATGGAAGTGAGTGCTGAACCATAAAGAAGGCTGATCGCCGAAGAATTGATGCTTCTGAATTGAGGTGCTGGAGGAGACTCTTGAGAGGCCCCTGGCCTGCAAGGAGAAGAAACCTGTCCATTTTGACGGAAATCAAACCCGAGTGCTCACTGGAAGGACAGATCCTGAAGCTGAGGCTCCAATACTTTGGCCATCTCATGCGAAGAGAAGACTCCCTGGAAAAGACCCTGATGTTGGGAAAGTGTGAAGGCAAGAGGAGAAGGGGACGACAGAGGACGAGATGGTTGGACAAAGTCATCGACGCGACCAACATGAATTTGGTACCAAACTCCGGGAGGCTGTGGAAGACAGGAGGGCCAGGTGTGCTCTAGTCCGTGGGGTCACGAAGAGGCGGACATGACTAAACGACTAAACAACAACAAGCTTTTACCTTGGCCCCTGGTTCCACAGTCCTATGAGCAGAGAAGTTCATAGTCAATGGTTTCCAAAGAGGGATAAGGTGGTACTAACAGCACCTTGAGAATAAGGGTTATTTTGGCCAGAACGGAGAAAAGAGTGGACCCCCTGCCCCTCTCTGCCCAGGCAGGATGACCCATCTCAGAGATGCTGCTGCTTTTTCAAGGAGGGAACAAGAGGGATGGGACCAGACCTGATAAATGCAGCCACCCACTGAATATTTCTTTCCATGTTCAGACCACAGGGGTATGTAGCTTTTCCAAGCTGCTCTCTGGATGAAACAGATGCTGACAGGCCATCAGGATCAGAGCCTTTTTTGGTCATTCTGCATGGCTGAGCTGGCTGACAAAGAACAGATTTAACCAACTCCCAGATCAAATATATACAACATGTTTCAAGCCTACAACGTCCTCTCCACACACCCGACTCCCAGTGCTAACAAACAACAATAATAAAAGAAAGGGATGGGATGAGATATAGAATGTGAAATGCACATCACTGAGTATCTGCAGCAATTAATACCATCTAACTTTTTGTGGGTTCAGACCAGAAGTCCATTTGATCTACTCTCTTGCTCCCTACAATGACCAGTTGGATGCTTCTAAGAAGCCCACAAGCAATATCCCACCAATGAACGCTGAGTTTCCATACAGTCCTTGAGACGAGTTTTCACAGACCATTTTCTCTTCCTCTGGCCATCTCAGCCTGTAATGACAAGCCTGATGAAGTGCTTTCAAACAGGACTCGGAAGTACACTTGCACTCTAACTTGGCTATAGACCTTGAGAACCGAGTTTTCTTTTAGTGGGTACTTGCCCACTTTAAACCCAAATGCTGCTCGTCACGGCATAAATTCACCCGCCATCGGCTGTGATGCCTTGCACCCCACTGTGGGAACCAGGAAGATCATGGCAGGGTCAGATCAGACCCTTCAGCAGGCAAATCTTTAGAACAGGAAAACACATCAGTTGTGCAATCCTCTTCCAGCAAACGCAAGGCCTCAATGACATTTGGAAAATCTGCCTGCTCTTTGTTTTTTGTTTTTCCCCACTGGTCAGTAGGGCAACAGCATCGCCCCTTGTTCCTGCCTCACATTTCGGCCATGTAACTCTGAAAGATCTCCCTCTCTGGAGGGGAAACCTTGTGAGATGGGGAAATGCCCATTTGCCTCAAGGCGTGATCTGTTCCTGAGCTCTCCGAAGGCAAATGAAGCCGATGTTTAAACTCCTGATGGCCACCCACAAAAGAAGCCACGTTCATTGGCGAAAAAGACGCAAGACAGCAAAAGGGGGAGAACCTGGTGGGGACTTGGATCAGAGGAAAATTCGCAGGCAGACTTGTGTGTGAGAGAGAAAGAGGTAAACTCCTGGATGGAGAGTGCAGAGAGAGAGAGAGAGAGAGAGATCAACTTCTGGATGGAGAGTGGGGGCAACTCTATCGATCTACGCTTCAGGATTTCCAGTTAAGGAACAAAGAAGGTTTTCAGAGGCGGAGAAAAGAGACTCCGATTTACGCCCGTGCC